ATTTAGTGCTGTAGACCACAGCCCAACAAGGAATAATTGGGTTACATGATCATTCCAGTATACCGACACATGTGTCTGCCTTAATGGTGCGACGGTCCTTACCGGTACATCAGCACAGATACCAGTACCACACTAGGATCCCAAGAACGTTAATGTGGTGGGAAGGCCATAGCCGAGATATCAGTACGGGTATAATTACAGTGAATATGCAATGCACTGATCACTTTATAATGCAAAACCTTGACTATTAATTTGTTGTACAATGGAACGCACAATTTTAAGGAGTTCATTTGCTTTTTTTTTTTTTTCAAAACTACCATTCAAAATTGCACATCAAGCTTGCAGGAAAGGTAAGATCGAGATCTGTTTAAACCGGGTCTCTTTCATTAGATTTAGGAGATTTTTTAAAGAAATCACTTTTGTGACGTAACTAAAATGCCAAAATACGACTAATACAGATGCACGTTGGTGATCGGTGTAATATAGTTGGATGGGCACTATCAGTATATCAATACAAATTCTACTACTGCCAAAGGAAACGCTGGTTCTGAGCGATAGCTTTCTAGTGACACGTTGGCGTTAGTTTTATGGCTGACGTCAAGACAAAGAAAACAATATATTGTCACTGGTTCCTCAGAATCGACAGAATTTTTTTTAAGTAGACACATTTATTAAGTTTGTTTTCAAGCTCAGTTTCAACTGGTTAATTTCCTCATCTCCAGGTGTGCATCTTTGGCATAAACTAGATAGCGGGTTTTCGGAACGGGGGGAATGGGATTGTTCGAGGAACATACCGATCATATGGCCATGATCGAGTCCAAGCCAACCTGAAACGTCGCCCTCTCCAACCCGTAAAATAACCACAAGTCAGAACGCTCAAGAGCCTCCATCGTGTAATTCTAGCGTAGTTTTAGTCAGTGTCGATTTTACTTTGTCGAAGAACAACCTTTTTTATTATGTCCTTTCAGACCTAAGTGTGCGTTAATGCATCCTCTCCACACTATGTTCAATGTATGCCCGAAGACACAACGAACCCGCCCGTATCAGCTCCGGTGTACGGCGAGGTATCTGATATTTTGAGAGAGGTAGCATCGATCGCCATTTTGGCGCCTCCAAAGACCTCCGTGCAAGTTCTTGCTGCCGTCGTGAGGTCCCGCCAAGTTGACGCATCGTAATATCCCTCGGCGCCCGGGCAAATTCAA